ATATTAGGAGTATTTCTCTTCTTGAAAAAAGTGTGAGAATTTTACAATGGCTAGCCTTACATACGTATGTTTTGTCCTTGCCAGGGGACTCATCAGAGACCTTTCAGCTAACTCGTCAAACATCGCGTTTGCAGTCCCGCTAGCATAAAAATGATGGTGGTAATCTGGCCTTAAATCACATAAGGATTCCCAATTGCGTAATATGCCATTCAACTTCAAAAACGTGTGAGAATTTTACATTGGCTAGCCTTACATACGTTTGTTTCGTCCCTGCCAAGGGACTCATCAGAGACCCCTTAGCTAACTCGTCAAGCATCTCTTCTGGCATCAGTATTAATTTGTTTCTTTTAGTATACTTTTGGTCTCCGTTACGTTTGACAAGCTGATTAAGGTGAAACAAACAAACAAACAAACAAACAGCACACAAGCAAACAAACAACGATTGAAATTCAAAACTTGTTATGATTAACTTACAAAGAAAAGACGTAAAGTGATTCGATCCATTTTTTTTTCGCAGCTCGTCCTACTCCGCCGCCCAAACCTCACGTTGTTAAAGGTATATTCAAAACATTTATCTTGTTTGTCATTCCTGGCGGTCACAAAACTAAACAAATTCATTTTAATCGATAGTGAACGTCTATGAATGCCTTAAAGCCCATAATTCCAAGCGTACTTTGCACAGGGCCAGACCGCTGACCTGGGATAGCTCATTGGCTAGAGAGGCTCAAGATTGGGCTTTAGACCTTGCAACCAGGAAAATTATGGAGCATTCGCCAACCAACGACGACGGAGAAAATCTTTACGAGTCATCTGCCACTAGCTCGAAGCCAGCAACATGCGAGGAAGCAGTGGAGGCCTGGTAAGTTGAAAGCTAAAAGCTCTTCATCTTGCCGGGTTTATTTACAGTATTTACTTATGCATATTATGGGTATACACGTTGAATTAATGGTCATCCTCGAAAGGTGTGTTTCTTTGGGATCATCCGGTTCAGGATTAACGATTCAAGATCACTCGGAACAAAGCGCATCAAAGGAATCGAGGAATTCACCCTGGCTAAGTACTAACCGGTTCCTTTGGTGTACCATAATACAAGTGTTCTTGGATCAATGATCCTAGTCCATATCTTCCAAAGAAACCCACCCTGACATAAGAGATGTTGAACGTTTGAACTGCTGAAATGCAGATTAATTAACTATGTGGCATTTCTGTCGTGGACACATAGAAACTTAGAACCTGGCAAACCCCTTCCATCAGCGTTCATGAAGAATGGCAGAAATCACATTTTCTGGAAAGTCTGTTTTAGATATGATTTCATCGGATACAAGAATATTTACAGGAACTGGATATGCCCTGTCCTTAATTTACTGATGTGGGCAACGGAGATGTGTTGTTAGTCCTCCCTCAACCTCCCTACCCCCGCACCAAGTTTCTCCTCTCTAATTAGCCACCCCCACGTTTCTAAGCCCTCCTTCCCATGTAGTTTCTTAAAAGAACAGACTGTATTACACTGCATTGATACAGTGTCAGTCTAGCTAGCAGTACAGTAATTGTGAGTTTTTGAAGACACATTACTGCTACTTGTACAAAGAAAGTAGAAAACTGACTATTGATCAAAATACGGGATTTAAATGAGTAGTTAACTGGTACCTTACAGATATTACGAGTTAGCTCACTTTTTCACTAATTTGGCCTTCCTCTGCTTGAATCTCAGGTATGGAGAAGTGTCCGACTATCCCTTCTGGAGTCCTCCAAATTCTATTTTTGACGTAGATGCTCAAATCGGACATTTTACACAGGTGCGAGAAGTTAATTCATTTAAGCCGTGTAGATTTCAAGTAATATATCAAAAACGAAACACAGTCTTTGATCACATTTCCAAACACCGAGAGGAGAGTTGAAAGTACGACGGGTAGCGGAGTATTTTTGACGAACTTCGAGGTTTCTGGAAATGTGGTCAGACACAGTCTTGAGTGTTTGATATATCTTCTCAATAAAAACAAAAACTAAGGAGAAAACGGAGAATTAAAATCGTAAAAATCTATGCTAATTAAGATCAGATATCCAGACAACGTCACGCTCATGATTTCTTTTGTTTAAACTTGATGAATTATTAATGAGTTTGAGAAGAAACTAAGAATTCTAGTGTATCCTAGCAGTATGCGGGAATTTGCCACAGTTAGACTTCATCATGATGACTTAGCTACCATTAGTTGCATGTGGCTTAGTTGCATAGAGTCCGACTGATAAGAAAAAAGTAACGGGTTTTTCTTAGTCTTGTTCAGAAGAGATCGAATTCGGAATTTTTTTAAAGCTTGAACCACTCACCCGCTGGCTATTTCCGGGGTTTTGATCAAGCTTAACATTTACGAGCATTTCTCAACTTTCTACACGATAATTCTAGGTAAATATTAGACTAATTTCATTTGTGATGATGCTTTCATCGAAGGATTGATTGCAGAGTCCTAGCCTACTTGTAGCCGTACCCACCCTCCGAGGAAAAACGTTTTTCTTTCGAGAGTAAGTGGGTACGGCTACACATAAGCTATGAATATTTTTTTGTCTAAAATACCATGCCAGGGCGAACTAGTCAAGAATATACAAAGTAAGATATACCGAAACATTCATTTTTCCGTATCAGATTGTGTGGAAGTCTACTAAGAAATTGGGCGTGGGGATTGCTTCTGTAAAGCATGGTTTCTGGACCACGACTTACATCGTGGCACGCTACTCGCCTCCAGGAAATTATGACGGGAGATTTAAACAACAAGTTGGAAAGAGCGTCATGGCTCTGAAATGAAACAGTGAGTGAAAATATAGGAAGCTTTCCATTCGATGAGAATTTTCGGAAATTTCCAGTGACGAATGGAACAACTTTTTTCCGGAATTTCCAGAAAAGAGCGAGATATATCGAAATTTTTGGAAATTTCCGTTCCATTTGATCTTTCCTCCTGGAATTTCGGAAATTTTCTGTTAAATGGTTCGCTTTTCGGAAATTCGAAAATTTTCGGATTTCCAGGAAATTTCTTTACCATTTGTTCCCGTTTCGAAATTTTTGGAATTTTTGGTTGAATGAAAAGCGTCCATATGTAAAAAGTGACATTCATTTTGGGCTGATTTTGGAAAGGATCAGAATAATTGATTGGGAAGGTATAAATCTCAAACGCAAACTTTTAAATCTGGCTTCCCAGATTTCCTTAACTGACTCTTACCAAAAGAAAACAAACTTGGGTGACAGGATTTTTTTTGGATCGAGACTGAGAGAGGCTTGAGAAGGGGAAGAAGGTTGATATCGTATTAATTCTTATTTTTCTTGTCTCTGCAGAAGTATCTTTTATAATCCCATTCACCTGATCGAGAAACAAAACCATCACGCAGTTTTCGTGTTACCCTAATAACCTATCGTAAGTTAATATTAACTTGGGGGAGGTACACGATTAATTTGTAACTTTTGCTCTTTCTGTGTCTTGCAGTGTTGTCTCTGATTTCATGTCTTACTCAGACTCTACCAGTAGTGCTAGTGAACGATAAACTTTTACGCTGAATAATAACTCTTTATTGGTTATGAATACTGTTGTATTTGACAATTCTAAATATATAACTGATATTTGTTTAAGAAATGATGGTTTTCCTATTAACGTATATTGACTGTAGATTCTTTTAGACAACTGGTAAATATTACCAGATATATCATGGAACAATAATTTTACTGCTGTGGCTCGTGCATAATATGCAAAGCGTATTTACTGTACTTGCAATAAAGGAAACAAGATTGCAATGTACAACGTCTTGTATCCACTTATCTTTAAATCCCAAGTAATCCTTTCTTTCGATTATTCCGTCGGTCCTGAAAACAAGTACGATAGCCACTGGTTATCAAGTTGTATATTTTTTTAAAATCATCTTTTAATCAGCGGACCAGTGGAACAATGACTCACTGCGTCAGTCCGTCCATCCGTCAGTCAGCCAGTCAGTCTGTCTGCCAGTTAGTCAGTCAGTCAGTCTGTCTGACTGTCTGTCTGTCTGTCCGTCCGTCCGTCCTTCAAGGAGTGAGTGAGTGAGTGAGTGAGTGAGTGAGTCAGTCAGTCAGTCAGTCGGTCTATTGGTGACCATACATCAGTCAATCATCAGTCAGTCAGTTTGACAAGCAGGCAGGCAAGCAGTCTGTCTTGTTTTCTCTCCGTCTGTTTTTCCGTCTGTCTGTTTGTCTGTTTGCCTAGCTGTTTGTCTGTCTGTCGGTTAATCGGCGTGTCAATCTGTCTGTCTGTTAGTCAGTCAGTCAGCCAGTCGGCCAGTCAGTCAGAAAAGTGATCAATCACACATAGTTCATGTCTTTGAAGGGCTGCACATCGATTTTCAGGTACTTCTAACTTTCCGACTCATTTTTTCATTCATTTAAGCTGTCTGTTCTTGGACCAACTGACTGCTTTTGCTGTCGGCTCAGTATTTCCGTTCTAATAAATAAAGGCCAAAAAAGGACAAGAAAGTAAAACCTTCGTGTGTACATATCTCTGTTTTGGGGTTCCATCAAATCTCACGTAAAACGAATAAACCATATAACAAGCAAACAAAATTTATGGGGTATACACCTTTAACTCGATCGCTTCTCCCCAACGTTTTCTCTGAACATTCCTATAAAGTTTCCTCCTGGTCGATAACGTGCCACAATGAAGATCTGTTTTGAATATCCTGAACCTGTTGAAGCTTGCGCCACTCCTACCGCTTTGGTGGCTTTCCACACAACCTAGAAAGTCGAGAACAAAATTATTATAGCCTATGTACGTATCGACCTACCTTATGTTCAAAAACTGAATTAACTGTATGCATATTTTATTGGGTATGATTTATATAATTAATAAAATTAATATAATTTATACAATTTAATTCCATATTTATAAACTGATTATCCCGATGGTCAATGAGTGAAATGTTATTTGGACAATACAGGTTTTGCAGCGTCAATTTTTTCCTCCCGAAAATACACGATGGAAACAGTATTGTCTTCCGGGTAGCATTCCAAGGTGTCTGAATGTACAGAAAATTTTACCGGGCCAATCCAGAGGGACCAATCTATTATTGGGAATTGAAACGATGTAGTTTTTCAAATGCCAAAATTTGTAAGAAAAACATAAAGCACTAGTATTGGCTCACTGTTAAATGTACACCACAGCTCTTGGCTTCAAAATAGTCATCAACATTTCCAAAGGGTCCTCGAATCTGTGTCTATGTTCGTCTTTTGGGCAATGTTTCAGTCTTGAGTTTCATTAGTCGCTATAGCAGCTGTTTAGTTGTATAGGTAAAAAGGTAAAGTCTGCATACAAACCAAGTGGCCCATCAGGCCGGCGTTTATCTCTGGTTTCTGTGACATGAAGCAACTAGGACTATTTGTGCTACCCCCTGGATGGGATGCTAGCCCATCGCAGGGCTTCCCCCAGCATTAAACTCGCTGGTACCCATTTCATGATACACCTGGGTGGAGAGAGGCACTGTGAGAGTAAAGTGTCTTGCCCAAGAACACAACACAGTGTCCCCGCTAGGGTTCGAACCCGGACCGCTCGATCCGGAGTAGAGCGCACTAACCATGAGGCCACCGCACCTCCCACAATTAGTTGCCTACCTGCGTAAAATGACCAGTCTCTTGTGAAAAACCAGGATTCTTGTAATCATACTTCGGCTCTTCACTGTCGTACCTGTCAGAAAAGAAAAGAACAATTTAATTTAACAAATGACTACGTAAGTATCGTATCTTCTTGACGTGCGATCTGGTGACGTAACATGATTAATGACGTAGTGCTGAGCTACCACATTTTCTACATAACTTCTCAAACTCGTTAATAATTCATCAAGTTTAAACAAAGGAAATCATGACCGTGACGGTGTTTGGATATCTGATCTTAATTAACATACATTCGTACCGTTTAATTTTCTAGGTGTCGTATTTCCAACTCTCTTCTCGGTGTTTTGAAAAGTGGTCAAGCACGGTCTTTGTTTGATATGTTACTTCGAGTTATGTATTCTGTGACTGCATGTGTGGAAGAAGAAACGTTGAATAGATGGTACGTAATATGCTAGACTGAGATCCCTGGTCGAGTGTTCGTATCCGGCTTTTGCCTTCGTGTTTGATGATTCTTAGGCTCTTCGCTATGCACACAGTGCCTCTTTCCGTGCAGTAATAGATGCTGGACTAACATTTTAGCTGCTAAAAAACTTACCATCCTTCCAAAGCGTCCGTGCAGTCTGCGGTATGATATTCTACAAACAAAGCCAGGTTTTCTCCCTCCCCTTCCAGGTCTGGGTCATGACGCATTTTCGCTGTTGCAGCNATGGGATGCTAGTCCATCGCAGGGGCTTCCCCCAACATTAAACTCGCTGGTACCCATTTCATGATACACCTGGGTGGAGAGAGGCACTGTGAGAGTAAAGTGTCTTGCCCAAGAACACAAGCTAGGGTTCGAACCCGCACCGCTCGATCCGGAGTAGAGCGCACTAACTATGAGGCCACCGCACCTCCCACAATTAGTTGCCTACCTGCGTAAAATGACCAGCCTCTTGTGAAAAACCAGGATTCTTGTAATCATACTTCGGCTTTTCACTGTCGTACCTGTCAGAAAAGAAAAGAACAATTTAATTTAACAAATGACTACGTAAGTATCGTATCTTTCTGACGTGCGATCTGGTGACGTAACATGATTAATGACGTAGTGCTGAGCTACCACATTTTCAACACAACTTCTCAAACTCGTTAATAATTCATCAAGTTTAAACAAAGGTAATCATGACCGTGACGGTGTTTGGATATCTGATCTTAATTAGCATACATTCGTACCGTTTAATTTTCTACGCGTAGTATTTCCAACTCTCTTCTCGGTGTTTTGAAAAGTGCTCAAGTATGGTCTTTATTGTTTGATATGTTTTCGAGTGATGTATTCTGCGACTGCATGTGTGGAAGAAAAAACGTTGAATAGATGGTACGTAATGTGCTAGACTGAGATCCCTGGTCGAGTGTTCGTATCCGGCTTTTGCTGCTTTTGCCTTCGTGTTTGATGATTCTCAGGCTCTTCACTATGCACACAGTGCCTCTTTCCATGCAGTAATAGATGCTGGACTAACATTTTAGCTGCTAAAAAACTTACCATCCTTCCAAAGCGTCCGTACAGTCTGCGGTTTGATATCCTACAAACAAAGCCAGGTTTTCTCCCTCCCCTTCCAGGTCTGGGTCATGACGCATTTTCGCTGTTGCAGCTAAATGATCAGCCCAGACCTGAGCATGCTGCACTAGTTTATCATCCCAGATCAGCGGACCAGATCCATGCAGTGCGCGTCTGTCGTTGTGTGCTTTCAAGCAGGCATTTTCTATCCAACCAAAATGGGACATAAAATGTTACTGGTATTTCCTCCTTATTAAACGATTGTAAGGGCCGTGCAGCTGGGAGATCAGCAATCGCGTAAGGTATTTCTGGTAACGACTAAGCAAACACGGGCTAATGAACGTTAAGAAGAAGTTTATTACATAGATTCCGTTCACATTTTACTGTTCCAAAATGTGACGGGAAACATCTAGTAAAGGGAATTTAAATGCTTATTATAATACACCCCTCGGGGCTTTTCAGTATCAAACTACAATTACAATAATAGCGTTAGCCCGTGATCTGGATTTAAACACCGGCTGCCTAAGCCACCTCGAGAGGGTTTAGGCCTTTCCTGCAAGGGAAAAGCTTATTCGTACACATAGAAAATATTACCCACCTACAGATGTTAGACTCGGGAGGGGCGTCGGTGGTAGCAATGTTGTGCTTTGCATTCTGATAGGCGAGGGAGCAGCAGTTGTTGGAACTGTTCCGCTAGCTCGCTTGTTACCCACGTTCTCTTTAAAAATTCTTAAAAAGTTTCCTCTCGGACGATAACGAGCCACAATGAAGATTTGTTTTGAAGAGCCTGAACCGACAGCAGCCTGGGCCACTCCCACTGCTGTGGTAGCTTTCCACACAACCTGTGGATAGACAAAGGGAACGCTTGGTGTGTTAAAAAGTTTGGAGGTGAAATAATCTATAACTAAACAGTGAAAAGATACAGCTTTAGAAAATCTAGCTTTTACCAGCCAGATGTATCTGAGATATTTAACATTGATACATTAATGCTACAATATTTATTTTGGATGAGTTTACCTGCGTGAAATGACCGGTTTCAGGAGAAAATCCCGGCTTTTCGTAATTATACTTTGGCTCCTCGTGGTCGTACCTGTGGCAGAAGAAGAGTTTTCTCTGTCAATAAATAGTAAATGTAGTTCATATGTCCATGATTTAATATTATCTTTCCTTGCGATATCAAAAAACCATCTATGTACTGAAAATTCAAAACTAAATTTCAGGCCAAAATGGCAATGTCAGTTAACTTACCATCCTACTAGAGCGTCCGTACAGTCTGCGGTAAGGTGTCCTTGAAACAAAGCCAGGTTTTCTCCTTCCTCATCCAGATCTGGGTCATGACGAATTTTCCCTGTAACAGCCAAGTGATCAGCCCAGACCTGAGCATGCTGCACCAGTGTGTCATCCCAGATCAGTGGACTTGCTCCATGCAGTGCGCGTCTGTCGTTGTGTGCTTTCAAGCAGACATTTGCTACAAAATCCAAAATTGCGTACAGTAACGATAAAACAGTGTAAATTAATCAGTAAAACATCTACCAACTTGGCATACCTTCCGCTGTCAGATTTGTGAGTGGTGTGAAAGGTTGGGATGTTGCAGCTGGTCTACTGGCGGTTGCAGGGCTTGAGACGACTGTTGTTTTACTGGTAATCAGAGGTTTAGATGCAGTACTCTGTTCGCTGGTGGTAGAAGGATTCCAAATAGTACTAGGTTCACCCGTGGTCGAAGGAAAGGATATGGTACTAGTTTTGCTAGTGGTTGGAGCATTGGAGGTAGCAGGCAGTTCACTAGTAACTGAGGGGCTATAAGTGGTAGTTGATCCCGTGGAGGTGGAAGGATCAGGCGAAGGCTTACTCCCAGTCGCTGGTGATTCTAAAAAAACAAGAGGAAAGCACTTGATAGTCATGTCAGGGTATGTGGTGAGGACGTAATATTGTCATTTATTTTTTTCTTGAGCATCTCAGGGGTCAGGATTGGAATCTTTGAGTCTTCGCGCAAAGCTTTTTTCGTTACTGACCTTCCTATCATTAATGACATACATGTATAGGTATATAAATTATATCTTCTTGTTATTTGTATCTTTATTTCTTGTAAGAGCCTTTTTCCCTTTTATTAGAGGCACAAGCCTATTGTTTAACTTTTTTCCCCGAAATACTCGATTTGATCATAATAGCTCAATTGCCACTATATATACAACATTAGTTTACCAATTTACTGCTCGCTGAGGCTCGTTTCATTCAAGTGTAAATCGTCGCTCCAAACACTAAAATTGTCGTTTCGTCGGTGATCTCTCAAAAGTAATCGTTTTTTTGTTCCTGAATTATCGAAATACGAATAGTGTCTCCAAGAATTATGATGAATTTTTGAACTTTAATTGCACTTCAACGTTTCTATGCTTCCTGCGTAGAAATTATGTGGAAAGAAACTTACTGTAACAAAGGCCGCATGTTGTTTGACAGTTGGTCAACATATACTGATAGTGTCGGCTGTTAGGCTGGCAATAACCGGCCCTTTTCCAGTAAGCACAGACTGACACTTTATCTGCCTGAGGGAAGCAACCTTGAAGACGTAGAGATAAGATCAGATAACATGTAAGATTATTACACATGGCATGGCACGGAATGAGGGATAAAGTAATCCTATTCAACATAACAGTCAAACGGTGACGAAATTGTTGAGCCTCATCATTTGATCCAAGGGGAGGTACTCCTCAAAGTTTTTGATACAGGCGTGCAGCCCGAAACTTGGAACCCTTACCCTATTTTAGACCAAAAAGTGTGATTTTCCACACGCTATTTCAGACCAGAGCCAAAAATCGATACCTCATTTCAGGCTTCTAAAATTAGTACACGGCTCTAGGAATATGACCGCAGCTAACCAGAAATGGCTACCATCGGCCGAACCATTTGAGTAGAGCTACAATGTTGATACGAAAAAAAAAATAGTTCCTTGTAATCAAAATCCTTAATGCCAAGCCAGACTCAGTGAGACATACTATTTTTCGGACCAAAACCGCTCAAAAACCACACCCTTTGGGGCCGCACACGCCTATATAGCTACCCCCGGAGGTGTTTGATCCGAATTAAGAGAGACCAGGTGTAACATCGGCCAGTTTTCGTTCAGTGGTCAGGTGCTGTTTGATTACTCAACAATTTTGACAGGTCTCGTAAGCCTTCAAACTTAACTGAATTTTATCAAAATTTCACGCTCAAAATTTGCTATCCAATAGGCTGTAGCAAACAGATTTGATTTTTGTGCTCTCTTCTAGGCCCTAAGCTTACAAGAGAGGTTACAAAGCCTATAAAATGGCCAAGATTGTGTTTCTGGGCAAGATTTTAGGAAGATTCGTGCCATTTCTTTTCGCTCAGATCCAAATTTCGCATACGTTATTTAATATTTTACTCACCACACAAGCGGCATGTGGCTGGACAGTACGCTCTCATAAATGTGTAATGCGCGCTTCCATGTCGACAATATCCCATATTTTTCCAATAGTTACAATGAGAATTATCTGGACAGTCATTCTCTGTGATTTAACAAAAACATATAGTGGTCATCACAAGCAAAAAATCTAGTATATAGAAATGAAGCTACGGTATAACAACATTTTAATCAACCTTGATCAGAAGCATGTTAATTAGAAGCGATTAACTCCGATCAGAAGCATATCACCTAGATCAAGGTGATATGCTTCTGCTTTGATTTAATAGTAACGCTTACACATAAGACAGCGGGCATTATTTTCCAAAAGCAGCTAACCACAGGTAGTGTACTGGTCATGGCCTTGAGTTTCCCCAGATTCTGAGTTTTTTCAGCTATGTCCTTATAAGACCATGACGATAAAGCACCTTGCGGTTTCCATGTGTTGACTACGAGCAACTCATGAAAATGTGAACCTTTTAGCAACAATTCGACGGATACTCAAGAACCCTTTCCCCAGTGGAATTCCGTTCATGCAAGTAAGTGCTGGTTTCAGGTTGCTACTACGGCAGGGTATCCACAGGTTTGACCGTATAAACTTTATTTACCAGCAGTGTGTACAGGAACGCGTGTAGTGGGAGGAAATAATTTTTATCTGGCATGGTGAGGGCGAATTTCTCAGATTCTTATCAGGCTAATATGTGAAAAATAAAAAGCGCCCTCCCCTCAATGATAGAGGTAAAAGAAATGTAAGGTGCAAAGTTTGAGGAGCGTGCGCAACATGTGTAGTGGTCCTCGCGTGTTTTCTGTATTTCTCGCGCGTGCCCGCATTACGTCATTCTTGCCTCCCTACATCATTCCTGCTCAGGTTTCAAATCGTGATAATTTTTTTTAAAAAAGTAACCCGTGTATGAAATGTCGACAGTTTCCTGGTGATCTGATGATAAACAAATGACATTAAACAGAGAATTCAGCCGGAAATAAACACCAACAACAATGGTTTCCGCTACCCGAAATATTGCACAATCATAAATGGGTAACAAATTACCTCCACATAGGCCACATGTTTTCTTACACCTCACTGCCATTGTTCTGAAGAAAGCCTTGCGTGGATTGCAAAACCCCAGTCTTTGCCAGTAGTTGCAGTAGATGTAATCCGAATAGACACAAACCTTGTCTGTGGAGAATATGTTAAACCACTGTTAAGTATGCGAGAGCTGTAGGTTTAATAATTGTTCTGTAAATGCATATCGCACACAAGAAACAATATACTCGATCGCCACGAAATACTACAGAGATCGGCAAAATGATGAATTTCTTAAGATTTCACTGATATTAACACTGAGATCACAATACACAAATGTTATCGGTAATTTTAGTCCGGGTTTAGCTTAACT